ATTATTATTATTATTATTATTATTATTATCTGAGACGGAGTCTTGCTCTTGTCCAGGCTGGAGTGCAGTGGCGAGATCTCGGCTCACTGCAACCTCCGCCTCCCGATTCAAGCGATTCTCCTGCCTCAGCCTCCGCAGTAGCTGAGATTACAAGCGCCCACCACCACACCCGGTTAATTTTTGTAGTTTTTTATTTTTATTTTTTAGTAGAGATGGGATTTCACAATGTTGGCCAGGTTGGTCTCGAACTCCTGACCTCAAGTAATCCACCCATCTCCGCCTCCCAAAGTGCTAGTATTACAGGCACCAGCCACCGCGCCCGACCAAGATCACATTTAATTTCATACATTTACTTAAGTTTGCGCACACTTCTTAATGTCACATGGTATATTTGTTCACATGTCATGCCCCTTAGTAGTATTTTAAAGTTCTTTCCCAATAGTTTTGAACCTTTCCTAAGTTTCTTCCACAATACTTTATCTTTTTACTGCTATTGTAAATATTAGTTTTCTTCAATTATGTATTCTAATTGATATTTGTAAATCAGAAAGCTATTTATTTGTAGATATTAATTTGGTACTCAATTAATTTAACTTTTTATAATTTAAAACTATGTCAATGACGACGGCGGGTGGGGGGTGACTTCCTTAGAAAAAGCATCTTTGGAGACGTCAGTAGTTTTATCACTTCACAAAATCCATACAACCTGAGAACGCCTCGACTCACTAAGAAATTAAGACACCTAGGATTTAGTCCAGACTCATAGATAAACACAGCAACAATTAAGTTTTCTTCAAAAAATGAGGATAACTGTGCCTAACCTAAAACCTTTGACTCCCTCATCCTGGGCGCCGTTATATGGCAGTGCTTCTTAAAGCGTACAATGTTATTTAACCTAGGGCTCTGCTTAACAGCCCTATTAAAACACCCCAAAGATTTAGGGATTTGAACAGTTTGAAGCAGGCGCCCCGAAACAAAAGTTCTTCTGAAACACTCGTTTAAAAAAAAAAAAAAGTCACGGTGATTTGCATTCCACTCCAATTAAAAAGAAATGCTTTTATATAAAAACTCGTTTTTAAATTATTCAACACTTAGCTTTTCCACCCCTTCCATTTTCAAGTAAAAAAGACGCTCCAGGAAGATGGCACCGTTATAATTATCAGCACTTTCCACAAGGGAAGTGCAGCTCAAACCTTATACCTCAATGTTGGTCTCCTACATCTCCCTCTTAGGCACAATCACACACAATCCCACACCCGGTTTCACATTCACTCAACAATCCCAAACATCGGGTCAAACTTTGCGGACAAACTCAGGGTCACACTGGCTCAAACCCGCCTCAGAGGCCCCCACCTCCGCCCTGCACGTAGGCCAGAAGCTCTTAGACCCACTCCCTGCCCTCGCGCCGCGCCCCTAAAGATCAGGAATCCTCCCCTTTAACCTCCCCGGTCCGACCGACCCGAGACGCCCAGATCCCACCTCCTACTTTCGCGCCACGTGGACCCAGGGGCCGTACTGACCCGCGGACAAAGACCAAAATGTCCACTCGGTGCGCTACGCTTGCGCACTCCGAAGGCGAGGAAGCACTCCCAGAAGTCTCCGCGACGCGGCCCGCCTCGGTCACCGCGGCCAGGCCCAGGCTGGTACTGAATTACCTTCTATTACCAGCAACGCCGCTTCTCGGGCCTTGGACTACATTTCCCTTGAGGCTTTACTGGTCGACTCTCTGTCTCCTCCCCTCCCCCCGCGAACCTGGCTGCCTCCTTCTGTGACGATGGAGCTCTTGAGGTAAGTAGTCCTTTAGCGTTAGATGACTTCAAGCTTGCTGGAGGGGCTGGAGTGGCGACGCCCTCTCCGAAGCCTCGCGGGCGCAAAAATGTCAAAACGGGCCAGGCCCCGACTCAGAAATAAGAGAACGCCATTTTGTCTCTGGCCGATGTGGCTCTGGACTACAATTCCCAGAGCCCACAGCGGCCTGACGTTACGTCGTTCTTGACGTCGTGGCGAGCTTGTTAGCTCCGCAAGGACCCGGACGCGACCAGGGGAGGCAGAAGGTGAGGGGTCTGGGAGTCCTGGGCGGGGCCGGGGCGTGTCCGGAGCCTCGGATCTGTGCGCGCAGGCGGGAGCGGGCTGCGGATGCGCGGTTCTGAATGTGTCTTTGTGACTGTATGGCCGGGTGTGGGTGTCTGCAACTGTGCAGGTGTAACCGCCTGTCTCCAGGGTGTCTGTCTGGTGGTTTTTTTGTAACCATGTGTGATAGTGAGTAGTGGGGTGCAGGGTCCTTGTGACCGGGGGTGACACTGCGTGTGTCCCCGTTGTAGATGTGGCCTGTTCGCCCTGTTCCTGGGGTGTGAGTACAGTTGTGACTGTGTGACCACTGCGGGTGTGCGGTTGTGATTCATGTCTCCAAGGTTTATGCGTGGTTTTGGTTGTCTGTGCCTGTGACTATGCGGTGACGCCGCTTGTGTGTTCCTGTGTCCCTTGGTGTGTGTGTGGCAGGGGGATGAGTGGTGCTGTGTATGCAGGAGTGGGGTGCCACTGCTTGTGTGAGTGTGACTGTGTGTATGTCCACAGTGAAAGTTCAGTTGTGACTGGGTGCCGTAAAGTACCAGTGATGGCGTGTGTCCCCTGAGTGGGTGTGTGATTGTGACTACATGAGGAATTTGTGGGTGTTGGTGTGTGGGACTTGTGACTATATGGGAGTGACTGTGTATCACAGTGGAGAGTAGATTGTGTGACTAGGTGTGTCTTAGCGGGTATGTGATTGTGACTGTAGAGGTATTGTGACTGGAAAGATATGGAGGTGAAAGTGAGTCTGTGATTGTGTACTGTGTGTCTCAAGAGTGAATGTAGGGCCAGGTTTGGTGGCTCACATCAGCACTCTGGGAGGCCGAGGTGGGAGAATCACTTGAGCCCAGGAGTTCGAGACCAGCCTGGCCTGTACAAAAAAAAAAAATTAAAGGCCGGGCTTAGTGGCTCACGCCTGTAATCCCAGCACTTTGGGAGGCCGAGGTGGGTGAATCACGTGCGGTCTGGTGATCTAGACCAGCCTGGCCAACATGATAAAACCCCATCTCTACTAAAAGTACAAAAATTAGCTGAGTGTGGTGGCAGACGCCTGTAATCCCAGCTGTTCAGGGGCTGAGGCGGGAGAATCGCTTGAACCCAGGAGGCAGAGGTTGCAGTGAGCCGAGATCGCACCATCGCACTCTAGCCTGGGGGACAAAAGCAAGACTTCGTCTCAAAAAAAAAAAGAATTAAAAATTATCTGAGTGTGGTGGCCCGCGCCTGTGGTCCCAGCTACCCAGGAAGCTGAAGTGGGAGGATCTCGAACTTGAGAGGTCAAGGCTGCAGTGAGCTGTGTTTGAGCCACTGCACTCCAGCATGGGTAACAGAGCGAGACCCTGTCTCGAAAATATAAAAGGGTGGATTTGTGGTTATGTTTGTGTGACACTAACTATATGTGCAGCACAAAGTGTGCTAGTGACTCTAGTGCTTGACCCATGCAGAACCTTTGAAGTTAGAACAGATTCTGGCCCTGGACAGTAGTGACCTCAGCCTTTCTGAGTGACACTGGATTTAGGCAAATGCCTGGTCTTCTCTGACCACACTCCCCTATGTGGTAGGGAAGGGGGATGATGGTTCAAAAATGACCTGGTTGTTCATGATTCCTTTCTCTTAACCCTTCTCCAAGAAAGCTGCCAAGTTCAAGTACATCAGGTTTTATTCTATTTCCCTGAAATCCTTCTTGTTTTTCAGCACATGCTTTTCTTTCCCTCTTCTGAAACTTCAGAACCACCGCACCATCGCCCTCACCCCCACCAAAGTAACCTGGTCTCCAGTATTTGCCATAGGAGTAATTTACTGGATGCCTTGGAGATGTACTGAAAGGCCTATGTCCTCTCTGCTCCCTACATACCTAATGTTCTTTTAAATTTTTTTCTTTGCTTTTCATTTTGAATTAATTTAATACTTTAAAATGTTACAAAAATAGAATTCCCATTTACTCTTGTTTTTTTCTTTCTTTTCTTTTCTTTTTTTTTTTTTTTTTTTGAAATGGAGTCCTGCTGTGTCACCCAGGCTGGAGTGCAGTGCTGTGATAGTTCACTGCAACTTCCGCCTCCCGGGC